ACCCCCCAAATACAAATCGATTTTAGAAACAAATTTTTCCGTTGTTACCCAGGCCTAATATATATATATAGATGACACTCTGTATCATATTCTCCATCCATGGATTCAGGGATCCTATGAAGGCAACCATAAGGCTGATGTGGCTCTAGATAAAAATGAGTTTGACATCCCAATACACACTACAGAATTAATGCAATTTGATATCATTTTATCTACATGTCTCAATGCTATAGAATATTTGGAGTTGTAATTTGATTAGTCACCAGCACCTTTTAGCAGAGAACACTGAAGAAATTGTAAAACTGCAAATCTCATGATTTCGTAGCATTTAACCATTGCAGTTAAAGTGGGTAAAACCACATTAATGCTACAGTCTAGATGTACCTTTAGAAGAGATTTCTATAGCTTGGGAGTAGCTACCAAGAAAACTCCCTCTTCTGCATCTAGACTTACCTCTTTGTGTGTCAGGACCAACAGAAGCATTTGAGGGCTCTTCTACACATTCATTAAAATGCTAATAGTACTCTCACAATAGACTCTCTATTCTCATCCCACTAAAACACAGGTGGCAACAGCAATAACATTCTAAATGTGACATTGATTTATATTTTGCAGTGTGCTTTTAATAAAGTTCACAGAGATAACTTCCAGAGCATACTTAAAAATAAAAAGTACACACATTTAAATTCAAAGTGCAGTGTATTCATTCACAAGGGAAAGCCATTGAGAGCATATTCTTGGGCTAAAGCACTGCAGAGAGCTAGATGATGCAGTCAATTCATTGATCAAGCAAATCAGTACTGCTATCTTGAAGAACACTTGCCATTTCTATTTTACACTGACTATATTAACTATACAGATCAAATAAACAGGTTATTGTAAATATTTGAAATTATGGTAAGACATTCCTAAGGCCTCTTCTACATTGCCTTATAATACAGATTATCAAAGTGGTTAATCCACATTATCTGCTTCGAACTGAATTATCTGAAGGTGCTACCAGACAGCTCCAAAATCTGTGCCAAAGCAGGTTTAAAAAAACCACTTTGGCATGAATTTCCATCCTCAGCCCACCCCAATCCTGGGCTTTCCTGGTGTGTATGTGTCTAGATCCAGCCACCCCGAAGTTCCTCGAAAATGGCCTTAAATGTTAAAATCCTTCTCGGGCTGCCATTAACATGGTCCTTCAGTCCTCCTGGCATGTAGAAATGACACGCCAGAAGATGATTACAGAGGAGGTGAGGAGGAAAATTGCTCCTCGCTCTCTCCTCCCAATGCGGTTTTGGGGGGAGGGGTGGGCACCATCTAGGAGCCCAAAATGTGCAAGATGGCAAATGAGGACTCACCCCCGGGTAGTTCTGGTTGGTCCTTTCAGGAAGGCCCAAATCTAATGGGGGTATCTAATTAATTCTGAACAAAGCAGGTAAACCCTGCTCCATTCCAAATTATTTCAGTTTTATCAGAGGCATTGTTTGGATGCCTCTGGTAAATCCTAGACAGGTTTTGGTTTAAAGGCCTGTGGATGGGCCCTGAATCTACACTGCCATATAATCCCTAAAAGCTGACTCTCAAGTGTGGGTGTGAACAAAGCTAGTATCCATTATTTGGGTCAGATCCCCTTGGGTGCTTTCATTTCAGACAAATGTAACAAAGAAACTATCTAGCTTTTTGAGAGAAGGGGGATGTGACAAAATACTCAAGCAAAATGCTTGAGTACATAAAGCAAAGGAAGTTGCAGCTAACAAAGGACAGACATTACCTAGATTCCTTTTTCACTAATCACTTTATAGATTTGCTGATGCCACTTTGCTTCTAACAATTATAGTGTGGTGTTGACTGTACCAAAGTGATCATATCTTGAAAATGTGTTTTAGCCAAACTTGCTACAGAGTCTGTACAGTCATCTAGAAAATGTCAAATAGCACTGTATCCATGGGTGTCTGATTGCTTGCCTTCCACAGCACATAGAATGTTCAGACTCCTGATATAAAAGCTTTCAGAGCTGTTGTTATTAGTCTGTGGTAACACAAATGAAAGAAGATTCCTGTAACATTATAAAGAGAGTAGGAACGTTTTATGTGGGCACAGTCTGCATTTAGTAGATTGCTACTCCATGCATGAATTGGGCTCACTTTTGTTAGTACCCATTGGAGAAGGGACAAGTATTTATGATGTTAGGTGTAATGCACCACCACACAAGTTGTTTGGGGTAGAGATAGGCGGTTTATTAGCTCCATCTACCCTCTTTAACTTCCATTTGGATTCTCCTGCCTCCAGTGCAGTATAA